ACACACATCCATATGGATGTGGCAGTGACTGGGAGCACCAGAGCAGCAATGTTGCCAGCGATGAAAGGAGGCAGTGTTTGCCCATAACCACCTTCAAGGCGATGTTCCAACCTAATTCCCCATCCCAGAATGGATTTTTCCCATCAGCCTGGTGGAAAGACCCATCCTCCTCCCTTCCACTAATAACTGCACTCCATTAACTGCTTGAATGTTCTAGGCTAAGTGTTCCCATTTCTCCACAAATGGGGCTCTTCTTGCCCACCCAACAGCACAACACCCCCTCCTCCCCACAGCTGTGGGACCAGAGCTGAGGGTGGGTGCCAAGGGGACAGTTTTTAGTCCTTGCTGTAACCAAGATGTCTTCTGAGCAAAGCAATTTTTCATTTTGCTTTGTGCTTCTACCTTCCCCGTATCCAAGCACAGCCGGCATCCTCTGAGGGCCTGGATGACTCACCACGGCAGAGATGTGAGGGCATCAGCACCATTCCTCCCTGGGCTCCGCATTTCCCACCATCAGGAGTTTTTATATCCCAAGCGTCTTTCCTGCCCCGAGGAAACGTCACGTTTACCTGCAAAGCGGCCGGGCAGGGGGAGCACCTTGAGGAGACGGCAGGGATGGGGCTGGCCCAGGGAGGGGTGGGAGCACACACACGGAGTGTCACAGCCCCGCTGGTGGCAGCGTGACACGCGTGTCCCCAGCGCCATCAGTGCCTCACCCCTGCAAGCTGCAGCGGGTCCCTCCTGCGTGGCTGCTCTTCCCCCAAGCCCCAGCACTGTGGCGGCTGCAGTTGCCTCACTAATTACACGCCATGCCCAGACCGGCTGCTCTGCACAGCGCTGTTAATTAGCATTTGTTTCCCTGGTGGCTGCTGACCCTGCCAGAGCTGGCAGTGCCTGGGCTGCTGTGGGTGACGGGTTTGTGGAGTGGCACAGCTCCTGGGCAATGGCGCCCTTACAGGATGCACTATTTATATTCTCATTTTGGAAAGACAAGGCGGTTTGTTGGAGGAACGTAGCCCTCAGTGCCAGCTGCTCTCGACTTTCAGGCTTCCAGAGACCTTGGAGACAAGGCAAAGAGCTGAGACAGCTGGGATTGTTCAGCCTGGAAAAGAGGCTTTGAGGTCACCTAATTGTGGCCTTCCAGCACCTGAAGGAGCTGTCAAGAAAGACAGACAGAGACTATTTACAAGGGTCTGGAGTGGCAGGACAAGGGGGAATGGCTTTCCATTGACAGATGGCAAGATTAGATGGGATATTGGGAAGGAATTCTTCCCTGTGAGACTGGTGAGGCCCTGGCACAGGGCGCCCAGAGCAGCTGTGGGTGCTCCATCCCTGGAAGTGTCCAAGGCCAGGCTGGACAGGGCTTGGAGTAACCTGGTTGAGTGGCAGGGGTGGGACTAGAGGGGCTTTAAGGTCCCCTCACGTTCCAAGAACTCTGTGGTGCTACGACTACGAAAGGGGCACAGATATGGCTGGGGGAAGAGCTCGGAACCCCTCCAACCTGCCCTCCTGGGGTATTTTCCCTCAATAAATAATTGACACGGGGCTGGGAGACTCTGGGATGGTGTAAAGCAGGCGGAAAGATACTTTGGGGGCATTGCAAGCAAATCAGGGTTAGGAACTGTGCAAAGATAATTTTTCCTCTGCCACACAAGCCCTGTCCTGTCCACGCATTCTGATGCAGAGGATCACGGAGTAGGGATGAGCCTGAATATCCCACTGAACCCCTCAGGCTCCTCCTCTCTTTCCCATCACCTTGGGTGCTCTACCTGCACTAAACCTGTCCCAAACCATGTGAATCTGCAGAGCAATTGTCCCCCCCTTCCCCTCCCTGCCTTGTTCACCAGCTCTGTCCTCCAGCCACCTGGCCCTTCATTATATCACTCAAGATTAATCCGCAGCTCCTCATTTCCAAGCGCCCAAGAGCTCCTGGCAGGGAGGAAAAAAAGTGTCAGGCAAAAAAAAAGCCAATGTCTTTTTTTTTCTCTGCAATATTTAGGTCGACCTACTGATGTGGGAAGCACAGAGATGGGAATTTGTGTGGTTTGAGGGAATTGGGGGTTTTATAGCATTTATTGGGGTTTTTTCACTGTCACCCCCTCCATCCTGCCTGTGAGAGGGAAGAGTGTGCATGATTCCAGCTGAAAGTGAGGAAAAATGTATTTTGTGGAGGAATTTTTGCATTTAATGGGGGATCTTTGCTCAATTCTCTGAGTATTCAGCTAATGGAGGGGGAAAAAAAGGTCGGTGCCAAGCACTGTGATTTTAGGCAGGCTTAGATCAAAGTGCTCTGCAGACTCAGCAAACCTCTCTGGCCAGGAAAAAAAAGTGCATGGGGTTTTTCTTAGGAAAGGTATATTCTGTAATTTTCCATGCAACACATTTCCCTTTAGAAATAAAGGTCTGGGTCCAGTTTGGGCTCTCTTTATGCTTTTAATCATCACAAAGCCTGGTGTGCAGAATTGCAGCCATACACCTTGACGAATCATTTCCTTCCAATGGACTGCAAACACTGCACATGAAAACTGATTTTCCTCTTTTTTTTTTTTTTTTTTTTTTTTCTTTTTTTTTTTTTTTTCCCCCCCCAAGAAAAACACCCCAAAGCAAACACCCAGTCAGCTCAAATCCATGGCTTTGCTCCAAGTATTTTGGCTTGGCTGAAGATCCAGGCTGGATCATGTGGCTGTACTGGGCAATCACTAATTTTTTCAGAGCTGCTCCAAAGCAATTGAATCACTCACATCAAGACAAAACAACGAAAGAGCGCCTGTGCCTGAGGGATCATTACCTATTGATTGGAAGTGAGCATGGGAATGGGCAGGGCAATCTGCTCCGTTTGTCACAGAGGCTGCCAGTCGTGGAATCATGGAATGGTTTGGGTGGGAAGAGACCTTAAAGCTCTTCTCATTCCACCCCTGCCATGGCAGGGACACCTCCCACTGTCCCAGGCTGCTCCCAGCCCTGTCCAGCCTGGCCCTGGGCACTGCCAGGGATCCAGGGGCACCCACAGCTGCCCTGGGTACCCCGTGCCCAGCAGGAGTACCAGGACCCACAGAGAGGCTCCAAAACTGCTTTAATTCACCTCGGTTCAGAGGCACGAAGCACCAGCAGCTGCTCCATTCCTTCCCAATGAGCCCGGGTGCCTGGGGGGCCGTGGGGTCAGCTGTCCTGGTGGTGACAGGGCACATCACCTCCTGCTCCATCCCTGGGCACCGGCACCTGCCTCTGTGCCCTGGGGCCGGTGACCGGGGCCGGGGGAGTCACAGATGCAGAAAGTGAGAGGATGGGGAAATGGGGTTGCCAAGGAAACCACAGAACGGCAAAGTTCTGATTGTTTTCTCAAGGCTGGAAAAAATGCGGGGGAGAAGGGCAGCGGCAAAGCCCCGTGCTGGGGGGAGCTGGGGGGGTTGGAGTACAGGGGTGGTGACCCCTGGGCAAGTCAGGACTGCAAAGTAAAACTGGCCATGTGCCAGATTCCGTGGAAGAGGGTGTCCCTGAGGCGGCTGAGGGCAGTCCTTGGGGAAGGGATGTGCTCTGGCAGCACCAGCAGTGGCTATTCCCTCATGGGGAAGCCTGGCTGGGGCTGGACACTCTGTGGAGTTGTTTAAAGTGTTGCAGGTTGGAGGTTGGATGTGAAAACTCTGTCAGACAGAAGATTCAGCATCTCCTTGGAGTCACCTGGAGGTATTTAAAAGATGTGTTGATGTGGCACTGGGGACATGTAGTTAGTGGTGGGCTGGGCAGTGCTGGGAGAGCAGTTGTGCCCAATTATCTTGGAGGTCTTTTCCAACAGAAATGATTCTGTCATTAAGGCAGAGCTAGGCAGGGAGAGGCAGGAAGAGACACCAGCCTCTGCTGAAGCTTTGGAGCATCCAAACCTGGAGCCTCAGGGTGGGTAAATCAACCCCTGGCAGGGACTGTAAGGGCTTCTCCATCATTGCATGGTCATGACCAGCCCCACGTGGGGCTGGAGCTGCCACAGAGGTCCTGAGGGCTCTTGTGAAGGATACAGAGGGATGCCAGGAGATCCATCATAACAGGCTTGGAGTCCAGTTTCCACTGGTATCGCTTAAACACCTTTATTAGACTGGACTGAAAGAAAATGTAAGTCCAAATCCCCCTATTTCAACCTTGTCCCAGGCAAACATGTCCTGAGGCACCCTGGGGATGGCTGTGAGCCCCAGTCCTGCCCTTCCTGCGCTCCCCTCACACCTCAAGGTCACACTGATGTTTTATTCATCCCCTACAATCCACTATATTCCTTAATTGCAGCCACAAACACTGTCACGAGTGTAAATAATTGCCTTGGAGGCTCATTAATCACTTCAGTGTGTTAACGAGCACCACAGCCCAGAGAGCTCTCTCAGGGGGCTCAAGGGTGGTGGGGACCCCCAAACACAGAGGGCTTAGCGTCCAAGTCTGGGTACAAATGGCACGGCCTGTGAAAAAATTCATACCTCAGCCCAAGATTAAAAAATTAGTGATGGGTTAATTAACAGCTTCACTGTCCTCTGCTCTCACACTCTGGCTCATGCAGGCATGGGAATAGCACCCTCATCCCTATCCATGGTCACCATGACCTTCCTGTGTCCCCATCACACCTCACTGCCACTGGAAGAGGCTGGTGCTAACAAGGGATGGGTTCGGTGCCACAGGGCTCCATCCCAGAACTCCTGCAGCCAAAGGGATGTCTCGCAGCTGGCCCCTGATGCCTTTTCCCTGGAAAATGCTCCCTGCTGTTGGTGGAAGTTCTGCCCTGCCACGGGGGAGCCTGCAGCAAACCAGGGAGCTGCTCCAGCCTTAATTAAAGGTCTTTAATCACCAGTCAGGTGATGGATGAGCAGCAAACCATGGTTATATCCCAAGCTGGTGCTGGTAGATTTGAGATACATGTTGGAATTGGGTGAGGGATCTTGGACAACCTTGAGGCTCAAGCTAGGGAGCTATAAACTCAAGACAGAGGTCCCAAACCCATCTTAGGAAAGACTCTGTGCTGCAGAGATAGTTCACACCTTTATTACTCTGGCTGGAAGGGTTCTTCCTCGCTCCTCTCCCTGCCATCCTTCCTTCTTTCCTGGGACACAGTGCCTTCAAGCCAGGATGGATGGTCCATTTGCCACAGAGCAGAGGGGCACAGTGGCATCCCAACAGCATCTGGACACGCTGCACGCACCCTGTCCCCTCCATGTCTCTCCCCTCCCTCTGTGTGCACTTAGGTGAGGAAGAAGGTCTTTGGGTTAAAACCTGGCCCTGTGCCACCCTCAGCTCCCAGGCGCAGCCCCACACCCATGGAGCAACACCTCTGCTGCCCCCAAATCATCCAATTCCAGATTTCTCCCAGGGAAGGGCATGCTGCCCAGGTTGTACCAGCCTCCCTTTCCAGGAGTGAGTCTGTTCCCAGTGGGATCCCAGCACACCCCAATCCAAGGACAGGTATTTGCAGGGAAGAACCATTGCATTCCCAGGGACCTTCTCGAGTGAGCTTGACATTGCCGGATGCCAGGTCCCCAGGATGTTTGAGGGAGCCCAGTGCAAGGGAACAAGGAGCTGGGGTTGAGGGACTGGTGCCACCCTGACCCCTCCTGCCCCCAGTGTGCTGTCACAGCCTCTTGTCTTGCACCATGCTCCCTCCAGCCCAATCGCCAGCAGCATCAGCAGAACTGCGGGAGAAGCAGAGCCCAGGGCAGGTGGTAAGCCCAGGGCAGGTGGTAAGCCCTCACCCAGCACCCAGAGCACCACTTCAGGGGGCTCTGCTACCCCTGCAGCCTAGGAAAAGGGTGGCTTGCCCAGAGCCTCTCCCCAGATGGGTACAGACCTTCCAGCGGTTCCCACACTCGTTGCACAGCACAAATGTTGTCATGGGCTCATCGGCACTGCGCGTCTGTACCTGGGGTGGAGCAGCACAGGCTCAGGGGAGACCCTTCTGCGTCCCCAGCCAATGTTCCCCTGCAGACCAGGCCTGACCTGGTTGTACGTGCAGTTCTTCTTCTTGCATTTGCCACACTGGAAGAGGTCGGTGACAGTGCCACCCGTCTTGGCCATCTGGTGCTCCCGGATGGCCTCCTGGGTCATGGCATTCCGCAGCTTCTTCAGCTCGTCACTGGCCATCTCCTGCCACCAGCATTGGCCCAGATGGGTCAGTGTGGCCACGGCTCTGCTCACATCCGAGTACCACAGTCCACACCTTCCCCATCCTCTCCCAAAACAGGATTAATCCTGCTGTCTGTGCTTGCTGGAGGGTTCAGACCTATCCAGATGAAAAAATCACCCCATCTTCAAACTAAAACTGCTGCCTGCAGGGATCTGTCTCCCCACAGGGGAAACTGGGCTTCTGAGGAGCCTGATTTGTGGACCCTGGTTGAGGAGGACAAAAGGGGACACTCCAGCCTGATTCCTGACAGTGTGACATCCCTCAGCCAGATCTGTGACAGGCTGGGGATCTGCAGGGCTTTAAGGGAACCTAGCAGTGCTGCCAGCTTTCTCCTAATGCTCCCTGTGTCTCATTCAGCACTGGGGTGGGACAGGGAGGTGCTGGGCCAACCCCACTGCGGACAGCAGCAAGCCAAGACGCAGCGCTTGGGCACCACTGAGGCAGCATGGAAGAGACCCACGGGCAGCAGCCCCACGCAGCCCCTGCCCACCTCAGCAGTCATGCGGGCGATGAGGCTGGGCTCGATGGCCCCACACAGCACATTCCTCCGCAGAGCAGGGTTCTTGGGGTCCTTCAGGTTGCTGATCCTGCTCCGCACCCGGTTGCGATACTTCATGTCTGTGCTCCTCAGCTCCTGGAAGATATGTGGGGTCTGTCAAGGAATCAAGACAGGGGGATGCCAGCTTGGGTGCTGCTGTCACCAGGGCCAATGGCCACGTGGAGGTGGCTGATCTCAGTGGGGCTTTCCTCCCTGTGGGAAGTGTCCCCATCCTTGGCTTTAAGAGGATGAAGCACAGCTTGAGATGGGGGCAGGAAAACGATTTTGCATTGCCTTGGAATGTCTAACATCCAGGCTAGGCTATGGGGCTCAGGGACTGTCACCAAGCCCTGTGCTGGGACAAAAATTCATGGTGCAGAGGACTCTGTCTACTCCCTCCTCTCAAACAACATGGGTATGGACAGGTTGATGTGGCAGCTTTGGGCACAGAGTCTGGGAGGCACCAAAAAGGGCACCCAGGAGGTGAACCACCCTGGGGTTGGTCATGGCCTCAGGGGGCTGCCAGGAGAACCCCAAGCCTTGATTTGGGGGTGGGCAGAGGTGGCTCCATCCCTTTCAGCATGGCACAGCCTGGACATTGTGACAGACTGGTTCTGGCAGGAGACACAGGCACCTACAGCAGGCTCATGGAAAAAGCTTTGGCTGGGTTTGGATTTATTTCCCCAGGGATGAAGGCAGGTCCCTGACCACAGGGGACTGGGGAGGACACGCAGACCCCTGCACGAAGGCAGGTGCTCAGGAGATGCTTTGCTCAGCATCAGCTTCAGCCTCAGCATCCTCTCACTGAGGTCTTGGCTCCCTCTGCAGGCAATGACCGCGGCAGAGTCTGTCACCCTCTGTCCTTGTCCCCGTCACACTCTGTCCTGTCCCCAGCAGCACTCTTGAGCCCACGTACGCTCCCCCAGCAGATGAAGCCTGGGGACCCCAGCCCCCCAAAGGATATGGTCTTCAATCTCCGATGCCATCTTCTCGCAGTTGACACTGAACTCCTTGTAGTCGTCTAAAGGGTAGAGAGTTAAGAGGTGACTTTTAGGTGTGAAACCAGCCACAGGTCTCACTGTACCTCCCCCAGAAAATCTCACCTCTCCCCCTGTACTTGCCCCAGACACTCCATCTCTAAAATACCTAGTTTTACCCATCTTGAACCTTACAAAGATGCATCCTCACATCCAACCCCCTTATGAGAGACCCTACCAACCTCCTTCTTTTTCCTTTTGGGGCTGAATGCTCCTGTTAGGACTGTCCCATAGGAGAAATAGCCCAGTCTGGGATCCAGCACCCTCAGAGCTGCTCACCATCCATGCGCAGCGCAGCTGTCAGCATCTCAATGCACTTGTCCCTCACGGAGTCCCCTGTGAGGTAGCAGGGGGCCAGGAAGCAGGGGCTGGCAGAGAACGAGGGGCTGGTGGGGCTCTGCGGCACCTCGGGTTTGACCTTGCTGCTGTTGGCTCTGCAGGGGCACATGCAGGGACACGGGCACGTGGGAGGGTCCTGGCACAGCCACAGGGACCTGCCGGGGTCCCTTGGAAGTGGAGTGGGTCTCTCCTACCTTTCCTCCTCTCTCCTACCTTTCCTCCTTGCTGTCGCTGGAGTTTCTCTGGGAGCTGGTGGGAGCTGGGGAGAGGCTGGTGCCCACAGAGGCTCTCCTGGGAGCGGCACGAAACAGGACAGTGGGGATGACACCAGAGACAGGGCAGGCAGGACAGGGGGCAGGGACTGGTGGCAGGACCTCAGGCATCAGCACATGCATGAGAGTCCTCGCTCAGAAGCCAACAGGAATCTCCCCAGGGGAGATTAGGGCTCCCAGCCACTTCTCACCCCCTCCACGGTCAGGGTATCCCCAAGGGGGACCCTAAAAGCATCCCCAGGCTGCCCAGGGACATCCCCTCCTTACCTCTCCCCTGACAGTCTTTTCTGTGAGGAGCAAGAGGAGGAGATGGTTGCGGACCTGGAGTCAGCAGAGGCTCTCCTGGCAGGACAAGCCCCGTGTCAGAGGGCAGTGACTTGGACAAGTGGTGGGTCCGCAACCCCAACCACAACCCAGTGAGGGGTGAGGGTCTGGCCTCTCCCATTTCCCCCAGCCCAGCACCCACCTCTCTTTCTTGCCGTCCAGAGGTGGTTTCTTGGAGGACGCAGTGGGGCTCCTGCCATCACTGGACTCTCTTCACCACGGAGGCCCAAAGGAAGGGAGAGAAGCTCTCAGCAAACCCAGCATACTCTGGCAACCTGCGAGCTGGATCCTGTCCATCTGCATCCCCCATCCCTGAGCCCCACCCCAGGCTGCCAGCAGAGCCTGCCCTGGGCTGGCAGTGCCTGGCAGAACCTGGCGTGAGGGTCAGGGCATCCTTCAGCAGGTACCTCTCTGGGCTGGAACTGGCACAGTGGCCCTGGGTGGTGGTGGCAGGAGAGTCACACTTGCTGGGCTTCCTAGGGATATAGAGAGAGCAGAGGTCAGATGAGCACTGTTCAAAATGACCTCATCTAAGGAATTTTAGAGAAGGGAAAATAAAAAATGGCCACTTCTCCCTCCTCCAAAAACTGCCCTGGTGCTGTCTCAGAGGCAGTTTGGGATCCAGAGGTGCTGCCAGCATCCATGGGTAGGCAGAGATGGATCAACTCTTAAAGACCAAGCAGAGGGTGGTCTCATATTGGCCCAAGTGTCCCCCAACAGCAGGCAGGAGCCCTCACCTCTCCTTGTTCTTCTCCCTGTGCTTCTCAGCTGTATTCTTGCTGTGCTTCACCCCTTCACTGGGGCAGCTGGAAACATCCAGCCCCTTCTTCTTCTCCTTGTCTCCATCTGCGTCCTTCTCCTTCTTCCTATCTGCATCCTTCTCTTTTTTTGTGGTGGTGGACTCTGGGGGAAGGATTTGGGTGTCACAGTCACATCCCAAACCAGCACAGGGCACCTGTGGAGTCGCATCCTGGGGTGGGGAATGATTGTGGAGATGCTCAGGCCTTGGTGGGGCACACATTGGTTTACACCACTCTAACCCAGAATGAAAACAAGCCCTTGGAAAATCTGGGTTACAGGTTATAGGCGCCTGCACGTCCTAGCTCTGGACTGATTCCACTCCATCCCCCCAGAAAGCATTGGGACTTGAGGTGCAGGGATGGCCCAGGGAGGACTGAGGCTTTGGGGGGCTCTCGTCTCCCTCCAGCATCACTCACCCAGAAGCCGCTTCCAGTTTTTGATGAGGATTTTGGCTGAGGCCACCACCTCTTCATCTGAGCAGTGTTTCCTCACTGAGTTCACAGCCACTCCAATCCGTGTGGTCTGGGGACACACCAGGGACACACCCTTAGGGATGTCCTCGCTGGCACAGGACATAGGACAAGCTACCCCATGGGGTGTCCCCCCACCCAAACCCTCTCACCTGGAGCAGCTGGATGGTCATGGTGTAGCTGGTAAGGGATTTGAGCAGATCCAGGGCCCCTTCCTACAGCAGGGAGAAGCCACAAGGAGCCCTTGAGGAGGCACCAGGCAGCACCAGGAAGGGCATGACAGGAGCACCCAAAGCAGCCCTGGGCTGCTCCCTGGGACTGCCTGACCCTCTCACACCGATAGAGAAGTCCTACACCCAAATCCTGCTGGGCCATCCCAGCACCAGGTCACATCTCCAGCTGGATAGCATGAGCTTTTCTTAAAACTTGGGAAAACCCCCATCTGCAAGAAAAATCTGGGCTGGTGGGAGTTAGGGACAGCTGGGGGATTTCCCAGTGTCCCCCACCCAGGGGTGTGAAGGTCCATGGGACACAAGCCCCAGGATTTCATCCTGATACCTTGCAGTGGCAGCTGGGATAAAGATAGTCCAGCACAGAGCCTTCCTCCTCCTCCTCACCCTTGGTATTTTTAGAGCCCCAGCAGCAACACCAGCTCCCAGGTATCCCCCCCCCGGGGACACTGTTCCATGAACTCCCACCATGAGGGGCTGGATCAGACACCCCTGGTTTGATGGTGCAGGGACATTCCTGTGCTGTAGGTGAACCCTGGCTCTGTCCCGTCCCAAAGTGCAGCAAGAGAGGCGTGGAACACCCCTGTCCCAAGACCCCGGGGTAATTCCTGGTAGCAAGCAGAGCCATGGGATCTAGTTTGATACCAATCATTGGCATCCCAAAAAGCCACCAGATCCACGGAGACGGCAGTGCTCCCCCTCCAGCCAGGAACCTGCACCTTGTCAGGGCAAAGGCCAGTGGAAACAGTCAAATATTAACTCTGAGAGCTGGGCTTGGCACGTGTAACTGGCTCACCAGGATCCCCAGAGGGATCCTCACTTGGCACAAGGGCGGCAGGGCTGGGTCCCGGCTTCCCCAGAACACAGCCACCAAAAGCACCCAGGAAACAGTGACTGACCCCTTCCCCTCCTTTTGCACACTTGTGCAACAGGCAGGGCTGTGCCTGAGGGTGCACTGAGGGTGTTGTTCCCCAGCCCAGAGCTTTTCCTTGCCTGTACACGAGCCTCTAGCCCTGGCACTGCTGGTGCACAGGCTGGGGGCCAAGCACCTGTCGCCCACAGTCCGGCACTGCCAAGCAGCGTCAGCAGCCGCCACCCGTGGGACAAACACCCCCTTACCCCCAAATCCCAGGGTCTGGGAGCAATGGGCTACAGGAGAGCCCCAAATCAGAGGCAAAATTAAATCCCCTGGGTGCTGACTATGATGTCCTGAGGCTGGGCTTGGGTGACACAGGCAGCACCCCTTAAACCCACTCAGCACCTCCAGGGGCAACGTGAGGGGTGTGAAAAGCAAACCCACATCCCCCCCCCCTTTCCCAAGCCACACAGGATTCAAACATGCATGTAAACAAGCACGTGTGTAAATATGCACACCTGCAAATACGTACGTGTTCAAATATGCACACATGCCCCGAGGAGCTCAGCCACCTTACCGTGCTCTTCCTGGCCACCATCTTATCCAATTTCTTGGCAATCCGGACCAGCTCCTCAGCGGGCCCCATGGCGGGGGCTGCAGTGGAGCAGGACGCTGGCTGCGGGCACAGCTGGGCACAGCTGGGCACAGCTGGGCACTGTGGGCATGGGGGTCCTGGGCAGCCGGGTGGGAGGCAGCAGAGAGGAGGGGAAAAGGGGGAAAGGGACGGGAGGGGAAGGGAAGGGAGAGAAAGCAGAAAGGAGGTGGGGCTGTCCCGGCCAGTTATAAACTCCTGCCAGGAAAGCAAAATAGCACGGGGGAGGGCTAAATATAGCCGAGAAGCAGGGCTGCAGGAGCGGGGGAGGCGCGCTCGGGGCCGCGGCCATGGGGTGCGGAGGCACAGGGACCGGGCTCTGCCATCGGGTTGGCTTAGGCAGGCAATCCTCAGGGGCCTGCAAGCTCTGTTTTTCCCAAAGTTGATCCAGCAGCAAGATCCCGGGGGGAATAATTTTAATTCTCCACGCATTCTAACATTCCAATATACGTGGAATTCCAGTATACAGGAATAGATCTTATACTGGAGTACTCCACATGTTGGAGGGAATAGCCCATCTCTGGAAATGTCCAGGGTCAGGATGGACAGGCTTGGAGCAACCTGGTCTAGTGGAAGGTGTCCCCCCTACGTCAGGGGATGGACGGAAGGATCTTTAAGGCCCCTTCCAACATTCCGCCATTGTGCGGTGACAAGTGACATGTTGCAGGCTTTGGAGCGCAGCAGAGACGGTGTGCCAGCAGAGCCAGCAGAGCCAGCAGAGCCAGCTGATGCTGTGCCAGCCTGGGAGCCCCTCAGGCCTGGCTGGACGGGCAGCAATACGGGGCACAGGCCATTGGGATATGGAAGTGACAACAGCCTTGACATCCTTGCTTGTCCCTGCGTCATGAGCATCCTGCTCTGGATCCATGTCCCAGCCCAGCCCTACACGGCTGTCCCCAAGGGTGATCACAGACACCAGGGACTGGCAGCCTTGGGGACACATCAGCAGCATCACCATGCTGGGGATGGCCAGGGCAGGGGTTGTACCCCCCAACACACTCCCAGGTGCTTAAAAAATGATGGTTTATTAGAAATCAGACAGAAAACATTAAAAAAAAAAGACTTTTTTGAGATGAAGCATTTGACACAGAAATGAAAAGGGTAAAGTGAGGGGGTATGGAGGCAGGTGGCTCCCAAGGGACACTGCCACAGGGGTATGCTGGTCCTAGAAAAAGCTGCAAAACCCCCTCTGAGAGCCCCCCCCCAGGGAAGGGGCAGTGATCCAGCACCCACCCCACATGAGGGACATGGGGCAGGGGCTCTGTGGTACCACCTGAAACATCCCCCACCCTCCAAATCAAGGAATGGCATTTCACTACCAGTTTTGGAGAAGCTTTGGAGCATCCCTGAACTCCACCAGTCCATGAAGCTCCCAGAACCTGGGGTGGAGGATGGACACAGAAAAAACCCCTCTCCTTTTTCTTGCCAATCCCAAAGGTTTCACAGTTGGGCTACAGAAGGAGGCTGGTGGTCCACAGCTTCCCCCAGGATGAGGAGGAGGCTGCATGACTATCTGGCAGAGGGTGGGGGATACCAAATACAGCTTCCCCATCCCAAATTCCTTTCAGAGAAGGATGAAGAAAACCCAAGGGATGGGCAGAGCCCACGGGAAGGACAGAAGAGCAGCGGGAGCAGGGGCTGGGGAAGAAACCTCAGCCCACCAGTGCAGCAAGCATGTCTGTTCTCTGCTCCTCAGCTCCCCACTGCTGCCATCCACGGACGGGCTCCCCAGTGCAGGGGGATCTCTGGGCCCCCTTGGAGGGCAGTGGTCTCATGCCAGGATCCTGGGCACATGTGCCCTCTAGCCATGGCTCTACCAAGCCCCCAGCAGGGAGCTAGCTCTACTCCCAGTCAATGGGACAGTGACAAAAGGGCCACCCACACACAGTCAGTCTTGCAAGAGGTGGACGAAGCTGGCAGGGAAGACTCCGGTGCGGGAGCCATCGCCCTCGATGAAGCCGACCTGGGGGTGCAGAAAGAGGGTTTAGGGGAGTGCAAGTCTTATCTGGAGATATCAGAACTTCTTCCCTGCTCAATTCCAACAGGGATTTAGAGAGGCAAAGCTGTGGTGACACATCAGTGGAGCCCTCCCAGCCCTCCTCCATGCATACATGGGGCAGAAGTCCCCCATCTGTGCCCCCCAAGAAAAACCCAGCCTCCTTCAGAAGAGAACTGGAGGGGGGAAAGGACCAGGATTTGGATCCCAGCACCTGTGCGTGCCATGGTGACTCACCCACATCTGCTCGTCCTCCTCCCGTGTCACCACGATGACCTCCCCCTTGGAGAAGGTCAGCTCTCGTGCCTTGTCTCCCTTGCAGTCAGCCACTGCTTTTACCCGCTTCTGCCTCCCCTTGGCCTGAAATGGGATGAAAAGGGGGTGACAGACCCCCACCCCGAGGCCATCCAAAAGATGGCAACAGGGATACAACCTGTTACAAGTGATGATACAATCATCACTTCATCTGTCACCCCAGGATAAGAGGAGCTGGGATGCTTGGGGATGCAGAGGAGTATTTGCACATACCGGAGCAAATCTTCTGGGCATGGGCACAGGGGGCACCTTGCTGAGAGTAGGGTCCTCGGGGCCACCAGGGCTCTGGGGGGACCCAGCCGACCCCATTTTGCCCACCATGCCACCAATGCGCCGGTACGAGCGGGTGCTCTCTGAGCTGTGGGTGACAGTGGGAACAGTGTCACCCCCTCCTCTGCTGTTGCCTTCCCCCACCCTGTTCTCCATCCTGCGAGGTCTCAGGGAGGTCAGGGCTTCCCCCATGGGACCTGGATCTCATCCACAGCCCCCTGATGGTGTTAAAAAGGGTCCCCAGCTCCCTCAAATGAGCCCATCCCACCACATTTTCCCAAAGGAGAAAAAAAATACATATGATAACTGGCAGAGGATCTTGGTGTCCTCCCAAATAATCTGCATCATTGTCTCCAAGGACAACCCAGCATCCCCACAGCTGCCCTTGTCTCCTCCTGCATCCCAGGGTCATCATCAGTTTCTTTGAAGACCCCAGAGGGTGGGCACCCCTTTGTTTCACAGCAATTCTCCACGCCCGTGGGGGTGGCAGATGTTGAAGCTCACCCACCATCACTGTGCAATGATCCCCCAACACCACATGCAGCTCCAGTCTGGAGCAGGGTCCCTACCCAAACTTGACAGGGGGGATGTCAGGGACTGTGCTGCCTGGCAGGGGCTGCGTGGCTGGGGGACTCAGCTCTGGCCCCCGCCGACTGCTGCTGGTGTCCGTCTCGGAGCGGGTTTCCCAGTACGCTGCCCGCTGGCTCTCGGTGGGGCTGCGGCTGCTGGGGGTGCCATCCAGGGCACCCGTGCTGCTGGCACAAGGCAGGCTGCGGGGTGCCACTGCCTCAGCTGGCCCAGAGAAGTGGGGCTCCGATGCCTGCCGGGGCAGCTCAGGGCGCTCTGGGGGAACACACGCAGTGGGGACAATAAACTTGGTCTCTGTGGGAGGCACAGAGCCACCACGATGACCCCCACTCCGACTCACCGCTGGGGCTGTGGCCGGGCTTGGGGCGAGAACTGCCCCGTGTAGGGTTTTTGAGGGGCAGCGGTGGGGGGATCTCCTCGCTGTGAGCTCGGCGGGGTGCAGCGCGCGAGGGCACCAGGATGCTCTCGTAGGTCTTGTTGGTGATGTCCATGCCCATGCAGCTCCAGCGGGTCTGGGGGCAGGCAGGCAGCGGGCTGGCGGCCAGTGGTGATGTGCCCTTGAAGGAGCGCTGGAGCGGGCTCACCTGGGGGTACACACACAGCTCCAGGGAGGTCCCACTGCCACCAGCCCCCCCAAAAGGGTCTGCACTCCCCCAGCTCCCTCACTGGGGAGGCCCCACCATCCCACAGTACCTTCTCATCCAGCTCATCCTCACTGTCATATGGGAACTCTGATGGGGGCTCCCAGTCATAGTCCACATGGATTTGCAGGGAGACCTTCCCTGCCTGCGCCTGCTCCAGCTGCCAGAGGGATGGGGCAGGTCAGGGGGATCTCAGGATGGGGCAGCCCACAGGGGTCTTGGCACTGGAGGGATACGTTCCAGAAGCCGCCCCACCTTTGTGCCAGCCCTCCTCAAAGTCCCCTCTCCCCACTCTTGAGCTTCTCCCCCATTCCTCCATCCCACCTACCAGCTCCTCACACTCAGTGTACTTCAGCCTCCTCGCCACATCCAGAGCTGTCTCACCTGCCGTGTTCACTGCCCGAGGGACAAAAGGGGGACAAATCCAAGTTGTAGCCTTATCACTCCCACCAAAGAACCCCAAAACCCCCAACCCAAGCTCATACCTGTGGTGAAGGTGGCTTTCCCTTTCAGGAGCAGCTTGAGGCAGTTGGGCTGGTTATAGAGGGCACCATAGTGCAAGGCCGTGTTCCCATCCTGCGTCACCCGATCCAGTGTTCCCCTGTGCAGGGCCAACAGCAGCAAAGTCAAGGCTTTGACACAAGCATCCTGTACATTCCTCCCATGAGGGAGAGGGGCAGGGAACACTGGGAGCCCTTGGGGACACACCCATTCTGGATGATGAAGTCCACCAAGGGAAGGGATGATCTGTCGGCATGGCGTACTGCCAAGTGCAGCGGCAGCTCGCCTGCATCCTGCCAAGAGATGGGAGGGAGAGATGACCCTGAGAATGCTCATCTTGCCTCAGGACAAAGGGAAAAGAATGCTCATTTTGCCCCCTGAACGAAGGGAAAAGGAGTGCTGGACCCATGTATGCTCATCTCCCAGTATATGGAAGGGAGAGGAGAGCTGGCCTCAACAATGCTTCATCTCCTACATGTAGGAGAGAAGAAAGCTGGACCTGAGGATGCTCATCTTCCAACCAGCACATCCCTTCCCAAAGCCCAAGACAACCCAGAGCACAGCCACCCAGAGAGGGAAAATCCATTCCCTGTCAGGTGCAGGCCTCACCTGACCCTCAGGGCTGGCCAGGGGCTTGGTCAGGTCATGCCCCTCAGCAAAGGCCTTGAGCAGGGCCAGGAGGTCACGGGCTTGAATGGCTTCCCAAAGGCCATGGGGGTTGTCCTGGCTGCCCTTGAGCACGTAGCGTCGCTCCATGTACTTGGCCATGATGTATTCCTTGCGTGCAGCCCTGCCAGAAGTGGGGCTTGGATGGGCATGGAGACAGGGTGTGGAGCCCTGTGCTCCTGCCTCCTCCTGAAGCC